GGAGGACCGGACCGGAGGCGGAAACGGACCGGAAGCCGCTGACCGGACGGATGTGACGTCAGAGCGTCTTATTGATTGCGGCTAATTCATTTCGGGTGTTATACTTTTGTTTGTGTTGAGTTATGTCTACTGACATCTACTTAAGTGTTGTTTTTTGTTTTCTTAAACAGATGTTGAAAAACGGAGCTTTTTTACAACGAACGTGATGGAAGCATGAATCCTTATGACTAAATAAATTTATTACTAATTGAATGGCTTTTCCTAAACACTTCTAAGTGTACTACTTGACAAGCTATTTAGCATTAAATTTGTGTTATACTACAGGCGGAATTTATAGGCAGAGAGCTCGTGTCGAAAATATGCTAGAGCTTTCAAAACATGAAAGAGAATAATCGTAACACATAATAAAGTGATTTTTAATAAAAATAAAATTAGCTCTTGCACATTTTTGCCTCTACCTCTTAGACTATTTAATTGTGTTAAAGAATTTTAAAGAAGCAATTGAGAATAACGTGCACATAAATCAGTAGATTGTGTAAAAAATTGTATTTAATTGAAAACAATATTTTTCATATTTTTAATGACAAAATACTTAAAAACTCCACTATCTGCTACCCAAGAGGATTAAATCATCTTTAAGCACTTGTTACTTTTTCGCTAATAATGAGCGTATTTTTATCAATGTTCGTGAAAGGTCGTGGCGTCGAGTCCCACCTCAGGGTACCTGGGACTGGTGGATTTTTTAAGCATTTTTCATTTACATAATTATCAGTATAGCATTGACAATCCAAAATTTATCAAATATGATAATATTCTTTCTTTTTATATAGTTTCATATCATTCCCATTTATTTTATTCGTACTAATTCGTATATATTTATTTGTAATGTTTGTATTTTGTCATATTAGTCATGATCTACTTGATGTATAGTAAAGTGGCCTATACATGGCCTACGTGGTTTGGATAAACGGCAAAACACTAACAGCCATCTCATCAAAATTTAGGTAACTCCAATTGTTAGATCTGAAAACTGTAGTCTTGCTGTTTGCAGTGACAGTGCAGCGCCGGTTGTGTAAATTGCACAGGATTAGCGAGCAATTGCTCGTAACGTTCAATACTTATAGGTAAGTATTTGTCTTTTCCCAAACAATCTTCATATGTTATCGCAAAAAAAAATTAAGTGATTATCACGCTTAGGTCGGTTACGTAATGTATAAGCGCCATGGCCCGCGATCGTTGTTGTTAAGTCACTTTGGCATCGGTCGATCACGGGATTACCATCAAAACATTATTATTTCGAACTACTCCGTGCTTTAGCACGTAAAGCCGTCGGTCCCGGCTGTATTTGCAGTCGTCAATACCCTCTAACCCGCATCGGGCCAGCGTGGAGGGTCATGGCCACCCTCAACCATTCATAAGAAAGGCCTGAGCCCCTGCAGTGGGGACGTAAAAGTGCTGATGATGACGAAGATCATAACGCCACAGTGAAATTTAGATGATCTCAGTAATCGAGAGATCTCGTTAGCTTGGAATCTTGATCAAGTCAGTGATTAAAATTAATTGGCCTTGCATGAGTGTTGTAGTACAGTTAACATATGTCAGTTTATATAAAATTTGTCAAATTTCTCCACTTGATTTTAAACTTTAATGATTTTAGTGTAGAGTTTAATTGTAACCTGACGTGCAGTAGTGTGTACCTTCTTTAATCAATTCGTCGGTCTTTAAAATAGTATATACATATATGTGACGTAGAAGAGGGTTTATTATAAAGACTATCTTATAACAATTCTAATAAAACCTACTACCTACCATTATGAAGAAAGTAAATGTTGTCTTTCTCTGTGATATTATTTATTCAAAATATCTTCTAAGTCTTATTGCTTTCTCATAAGATACTATAAAGTTAAAAAGAGAGAAACAATTCGTGATTGACTCATCACGCACCTTATTAGCTAGAAGTTGAAAACAAACAATTTTAACATAACAATTTCACTCTTCCCCATATTGAACTCATTAACGTGAAAAAACCTTATCAAATAGAAGAACTTGAAGTGTTACAATTTTCATTATAATGTAAACGTTAATTGTTTCTAGTAGCATCTAATTTGATTATGACGGTCTCTATAACGCACACATTAGTTTATGGAGCGAGAAGCGGTTATGGTCCTAAGGCGGTGTCCTCGATGACAGCAGAAAGCGAAAAAGCGATTATAAGCTTTTGAAGTATCACTGGTACGAATTAACATGAAATCTAAGAGCCTATTCTATTTGTCCTCGAACGAAAATTTGGAAAAATTCAAAGCGGTCTTACAGTTTTGGTTCTCCTTCTACCTCTGTTGGATCATAACTTATCGAAAATTGCGTTTTATTGGAGTCTTATTATTTCGAAAATAGACGAAATTTTGTTTTCGGAGTAATAGAACAGGCCTTCAGGTGTCATGCTAATTTGTACAGGTAATCTTAGACAAACGAAGATAAATAACGATACCGTTTATGAAATGAACAGATACATGGAATTTTACGGAATAAAAAGAAACACCTGGTACTGGATAACGTCTCCCTCAAAACCTCCACACTGATTTTTTATTTGGTTAAAGATATGTCTACGTATCGATTTCTAATATACTTGGTAAATATCAAAATAATAAAATGATTGTCAACTAACCGAAAATTATTATCAAGCTCCTAATAGAACCCAAAATAGAATTAAAACTAAAACTAGAGCTAAATTTCTTTTGTCTACGCAGTGGAAATTTACCTTAAACTAGGACCTGTAGTGAGATGACGTAGGAACCTATTCCAATAAAAGAACCTAGGTGAAATTTGTAGGTAGTAGTAGACCTTCCTACTTAAATACCTGTTTTTCTGTGCTAATCACCATAAGTCCATAACCCAGCTGCAAGTAATTTAAGGACTGACGGACGCAATGATGTTTCTAAATAGTATCAGGTTATACAATAACATTTGTTAAATGAAATTTTATCAAAAACGTTTGTTTTTCGTAAGAAATATGAATTAACGTTAAAAGAAGACAATAATAATTAAATTTAATTAAAATAAAGATTTAAGCTTCTCTTTACAAAGTAGTGCTAGAATTACGTATGTGTGTAGGTTATATGTAGGCAGATACTAGTAAATAATAGGTATCTACCATTATTTTGTGAAACATAAAAAATCTACTTAAGGACTCAACCGATGATCTTATTTCGCATTTTTTGCTTAACATACATCTGCACAAACCTCTTTAGAACTTCCTTCCTTAAAACACCTTATTTCTTAACAATTTTATCTTGTAATTCACTTAGCTTTTAAATTTAAAGCCTAAGAGGTGATTTTCGTTTAAAAATTACTCTATCTCTATCTTAACATCTGCTGCGCTGTCGTCAGATAGTCTTATCAGTTCTTTATTTTATCTATGGTGCATAATGTCGCTTGAACATTTGGCGCCAAACCTTTTTTGTTCTTTTTTTAAATTGCCAACAACCGCACACGTCGATGACAACGATACTATAGGCACTTAATGTAATAAAAAGTGCTTCTATCAGGGTTTTTATTTCATTTTATTTAAACAATTTTAACATGAAATAATCTCTGAGATGATTTCAAATTAATTTTCAATTGATCATTATACGTAGATGAAGTTTTATTGGGATTAATATTAATTTGGAATTTAACTAACTGTGTGCGAAAATTCATCAAATATTGTTGAGTCGTTTTCGTAGAGTAGTAACAAATATTCGGCAATTACCCATACTTAAAAACTGGAATTCCAAAACTTAGTTTACATATCTAACCGCTATAATTTAATTTTGATTTAACCGAATATTACAAAACCTTGTAATATGGTATTCATTATAATTAATGAGAGGAAAACTTAACAGAAACGTTAATTGGACAGAAATATTTTTTAAATATGAAGGTGTTAACTGAATTATCTTAGTTATCAAAATAGAAATTACATATAAAGTATGAGAAATTTAAATTTTAACACACAAGCGTACACCTAACCCTCTCGATGCAATGGTAGGTGACTCCCTATCTCTAGGTAATTTATACCTCTCAGTTCATTATTTTGTTTTGCACTAAAAGAAAGTGCAAAACAAAATAATGAACTAAGGAAAGTAAAAAAAAAACTCTTCTTGGTATAGTTATATTAATGTAAGTACGGCGTTACATTACAAAAATTGATGTAAAACAAATATTCCTAAATTCAAACTTCAACATCCAAACAAACTAAAGCGTGTAACAGACGCTTCAAAATTATCCCGACAATATTATATAAATCTTCGAACGTACGAACCCAATCTGCGCTAAAGCTGCTAAAATAACACAGAATCCGCGCCGACGATCAGACAAAGTACAAATCCCGATTAATCAAAAACAAACCAGCTAAAACATGAAAGATTAACATTGCCACATTAAAAAAATAAAAACCAGAAAAAAGAAGCTCACGGTTCAAAACCATAAATCATGCTCATTATATTCGAACCGGATTATTTTTTACCGAAGAAAATGCTCAAAAAAGCATCAAAAGGCTGTAAGGGGTCGCCATTTTGTTGGGGAGCCGTCGATTAGGGCGTGAATACGGAAAGCCGTCAACCAATCGCTCACGTCGTTTTCAAAAGGCGTTCTTTTGAGGAGCCAATGGGAGAATGGGCCGATCCACTCATGCGCTTTCGTGTCGATCCATAGAATTATAGATATTGTACGGCAGTGTGGGCTTGGCCACTAACGTGAACGGACGTGTGTGTGGTCTCACTTTATTATTTTATTTTTCAAACAATGTCGAAGTGCCTAAGGACCAGATTAGTGGTTAACATTTTTGATGTATTCAGTTCGTCGAAGCAATAGTTAAAAGTGCTGTTTTCTTAGAATCCATACAACTCTGTGGGTTTTGCTTTTGTTATTTTGATGTTATTGTGATTTATAATTTTACCCAAAGTAAGAACGTTAGTAGTCATAGTTTAAAGGACTGTGGTGGACTAGCTGAAGACATCGTGATGGTTATGGCCAGTGGGGGTGGCGGGCTGGTACAGTCCCCACCCGAGATGATGCACCATCACAACATCATGGACACTTCCTCACATGTCGAGATGATGCCCAGTAAGTTCATATCAACACATGCTAGATATATTATTAACATTATTATTGATAGTTATTTTCACTGTTTCTAATAATTTAACTTCTTTTTACAAGCAAACAACATTTTTTTTATTATTTTCAAGTTTATTTATAGAGAATTACCTATGTTATAAGTTGATTATAGGATTAGTTGATCTGTTAGGATATAGACCTTTTCTGCAAATAGAATTACCAAGATAGATAAATTTAATTTTAACATAATTCATAACACGCGCATGTCCTCAATGGGTTATCTTTGTGAGTGTTAATGGCTGCAAGTATAGCCATCAGTAAAGGTTCAGTTACTCATATAGCACTGATTTCATGCTTACAAATAACATTAAGGTATTTTTGAGGAACCATTTTTTATGTCCTTTTGGACTTAATGTTCATGCCAGCCCTATCATAACCAAGTAACAAATATTATAAAACATTTTCTCAGGAATATATATCTATGGAAACATAACTTTGTATACCATGATAACATTCTAGCTTCATCTGACAACGGATATGCTAGGGATACTTTGAAAAACTCGTATGTCATTTTTATTGTGCTTAAGATTAAAAAACTAATCATCTCTCCTTTATTCTTAACACATTGGGCTAGCAAATGTTGGACATCTTTCTTTTCATATATTTTACAATTGGGAGAATTCGTTCTTTTCAATAAATATAAACTTATTTAGCGGAATGTGTCCAGATCGCAGTAAATGAGCTATTATAATATATGTACGTCTATTATTACAATTAACGAACCAAGGTATATGAGGAGGCTGACATAGTTACGTACCAAATACTTTTTGTTTTGAACCTTTCTTTAAAGTATTCCGTCCAATTCTGATGACATATGTTTTTGAATTTTCTTTAACCCTCAGAATATATAAGCAGGATAAAAATTTGAGAACCATCGGAAATAGCGGATTTGCCAAATGCTCTACCTTCTCATTACCTATTAACCCAATATGTGACGGAATCCTTTGTAATTTTATTAAAATGTTGAGTTCTTTGACTGATATAATTTAAAATACTGACTGAAATAGAAGCGTAGCTTCGACCCTGAGTACATTGATTAACATATTGTAGGGCACTCTTACTGTCACAGAAAAAAGCCACTTTTTTGTATTAAATTTAATATTATATTTTTTTTTGTTATGAAGTTAGAGCTTCTAAAACAATTCAGCAGTCAGAGTAACCAAATACCACGCTGTATATTTCTGATGACTCATACATTGATATTGTCTCTCAGATATACCACATTTGGACTTTGACTTTTACTAATAATGATTTATAATAAAACATATTGGTCATTATGTACTTTATTGATACTAAAACAAGATATAAATAATCCTTGTTAGTTAACATGTGTACTTAACTCATAAACTAACAAGGATTTATGGGTAAAATAACCTATAAATATATTTGCGGAAAATCTAATAGCAAAAATCTGTTTAATCTCTTAACCTAACTTCGACCAATAAATATAAAGTAGCAGTGAAAGGGGGTTGTGATTGATTTATAAATGGCGGGGTCGTATAGACGACGCATTATTTTTGCTAATGCAAGCGAGACCCGACCATTAGAGGGTTAGAACTAGGGTTATCACTTCCACACAGAAAACATATTCTGTATTAAATTATTTTACTGTGAATATAAATAATATTTATATTAAGAAAAAATATTTAAAAATATAATATAACTTTCAGCGAATATATATCAGTGCTTATTAACCTTATAAAAGATTTTTTAATACACTATCAATAACATATTACAAATATCACTTGCATACCTACTTATATGTAAAAACACATTAAAACTATTCTAAATTATCATTATACTATATAGCTAATATTATTTATATCGATTTTAGATTAATTATACACACATAACGGATGTTTGAAGTAAGTCATAGAAACTTTCATAAAGTAGCGCTAGCCACAGTTCACTGGGTATTTACTTGTTAGAATTAGAAACAAAAAGTATAAAATATACTTAACTCTGGAATAAAAATACAACGTTGTAGAAAAAAAAATTGTCTGTAGTTGAATTATTTATTTGTACTGAAATTGAAACATATTTTAATATCTCAAAAAAAAACTGCTTAATTATTCACCAGTCCCAGGTAGCCCGAGATGTAAATACTTGGGACTATGAAATATTTAAACTTTTGAAAAAAGATTTAAAACATTGAAATTTGCCAGCCCTATTTAACGTAGAAGATTTATTTGTTCTGTAACTATTATGTGTGCAGGAGTTTCACTCATCGAATGGAATAATAACCACTTAGTTTAAGTGAGAGAATTTATACTCGTCAAAAATATATTGCTGAAAATATGATAAACAAAAAATTCTTCAATTCCTTAACATATTGAATCATTACATATATTTCTTTATGAAAAATCGAAAAAGAAAACAAAGAGTAGGGAAAACAGATGACCCGAAGGTTTGCTTGGGATAGTTTAAATTTGGAATATTTCTTCTATTGGAATTATATTAGGTAAAATTAGAAATGAGAATAGATACCTCAAATGTAATTCATATAAGTTCACAGTTTTAACTGTGAATTTATATGTTTTAACCAACAGACAAGACTTTGAATGAAATAAAACTGTTATTAAAATAGTATTCTGACTATTAAACAGTTTTTATTTCATTTAAATTCTTATAGTTAAAACAAAATATGTAATGATTATATAACTAAAAATTTCAATTTCAACTGTTTTAGTTATTTATTATTGTGAGCATTTTGGGATTTGTATACATAAGATTGTTTTATATAAAATTGTTTATATATGCATAGAGACCGATGGAACCACCAATCTAAAAAAATACTTGTTTAAATGATTTTTTTATATATTGCCTATCTTATGTATACAATTATTATTTCAGATATTTCATTATACGAAAGCTTTAATTTTTAAAATTAAATTAAATGTTTCTTACGGACTGAATAAACATTTTCATTTTTTCAGTGGGAGCTTAGAAACGAATAAAGATACTTTTTAAAATTGCTAATCAATTGCTAATAAGTTAAATTATTTATACAAAACAAAAAAAATCGTAAACTCGCATGAAGGATGCCATAACATCAATAGCCGTAAGAACTGGAGATAATTTTAGCTCACACTTTCATGGCTATTTGCCTCTTAGCGTGGAGTTTATTGCTGTGCGCGTGCGCTCGCTAAGTGGACGCGCAAACGGAGCAAGGGTTAAGAAGATAGCAATGGAATTTTCCACAATAATCCTAAACAAAATCCTCGCTTTCAAACCGTTATAAATCTTAACCTCTATAATATTTGTCACTATATATTCTTTACAATATTTGTTGAAAAAAAAAAATTCTTTAGAAATTAACCTTTTGGTTGATACCACCCTTCTTCTTCTTGAAAGTGTCAGTCGCCCACTGTTGGCATACGTCTCTCTAATCTCTCTCCATACAGTTCTATTTTCTGCTTCCCTCTTTCTCCGCAGCCATTCGGACCATCGGGCAGGGGATCTTCTAACACTTCCTTTGTTTAATACGTGGCGTCACCCAGCTACAGATTTAATAGATAAACATTCTATATTTTGTGATAATAATCTAGAAGAAAATGATAATCTAAATTATATTAATTTAGTATTATATTCGATATAATACTAAATTATTCGAAGTAAAAGACTTCAACGACATCTTTCTTATAAATAAAACATTTTTATTGAACTTAATAATAGCAATCGTCATATATTCTTCAATACATGCTTTGCTTTACTCAAAAGATAAAAGAGACGAGGTTATTTTGAATCATATTGGTAGAGAAAATCTATTTTTTTTACTCTGGCAATGCATCGCTTTATATCAATACTTACACAAGTCAAAATGCATAATGCATAAAATTCTGTTGAGATACAACGCACACGATAAATGTCGAACATAGCGCTGTTGCAGCATTAAAGAGTGAATCAAATAGAGCCTTAAAAAACAAAAACCCGACTGCGTAGAAACGAATTTTAAAAAATACTTGAAAAAATTAACTTAAACAAAAACTAAAAAGAAAGAAACAAGCCCAATAGTTTAGAATTCTGTTAAGTAATACTAAATAACTACACAATTGAAATAGTTTTAAAACAGTGATAGTTTTTTTTTTCATTTTGACAATATGGCGTCTGGTTGTCGCTGTGGTGAATTTTGATTACTATCATGTCTTTAGTGACACTCGCAAGGTTAAGACGAATCAATTGACGTAAGAATCATTAAAATCGGCCTACGCATTTGGCCTCTAGAACGCCACATAGAAACAAACATAGATACATACATAGACTGATTAACACATTAACCCCCTTTGCGTCGCACAGTCGGGTAAAAAGGTAGACATTTTATTGGATTTACGCTATATTAAAAAAAAATTAAAAATATCTTATCAAATGGCACGAGAATCACTTCAGATTTGTACTGGAAACAACTAAATAAAATTACAGAAAAGTAAAATCTAAAGCAAACTTCGTCGGATTGCTCATCTCTACTGTTTCACGCCGATGCGTGACCACATACTGTAAAAATGATGCCTGGTAACGTGAAACACGAGAGTAAGCAGATATCACTGTCCACTAATTTATGTAGATCTTGCGTCGGTAGTGCTACATATTTGGATTTTTTCCAGAAAGAAAATTCAATACATAAGGCGGTATAAAATGCTACGTTTTAAGAACATCGTTGCCTAATTAGAACAGAAAGAAGGTAGTAATAAAAAATGCTACAAATCTTTTTTGTACAAAATAGGAGCTCTATTGGTATTAAATATGTAAGTACGTATATCAGGTTTTTATTAGGAAATATGTTCATAAGAATAACTATTTTATGGCTTTACTCAGTATTCGTGTAATATGGCGCTAAGAAAGGTATGGTAAATATAGGTGAATTACTTTATTTGTATTTAAATTGAAACCAAGACGATTAGGAAGCGGGATTGTGCCTTAGTGCCATTCTTATCTTGCCGATCGACAGTTTT